CAACTTGTGATGATGTTGTATCCGCATTTTTCTTCGCCATTAATTACATCAATGTTATTTTCCTCACGAATTCTTTGCCTCTTGGCATACCTGAGGTATCTCCTCATGAATTCACCATCATCGGAATTCTCCAAAGGCAGGCAAAGTTCCGATTAATCTTCACCTGCAGAGCCCGCTGACATTAAATACGTCCAAGGACGGCCATAGATCACTTGAGGATCACCAAACCCCCTTCTTACGCGGTTAAGTGTTAAAAGCGCGCGTGCGTGGGTGTGCGCCACGAGTTGACCCCTGCGAGGGCGAGGAGTGGCCCCTCGAAAAGTGGAGGAGCGTGCGTGCCACGCGACAAGGATACAGAAGAGGAACGACGCGCCTACGCATTGATGCACGCTTGACCCGCGACCCAAGCCTGGGCAGAGCATCATCTCTTCACAATCTCTGACCGCGATAATCCTCGCGGCATTTATTTGCGATGCTGACAAGGCGTCTCAGCCGGGATTTGTAGCGATCGAGATAAGAATACCTCTGGGGGCGCGATTCCGAGTTCAGTACGTGACACAAACAAATCGTGTTGTGAAATTCAGCGATCGAGATTACTGGAAAATATAATCTCAAGCTCAAGAAGTGTATGAGACTCCGCCGATCAGCACGTAGCAGATGATATTTACTATTTCTTTTCTTTAAAGTCAGCGGATGCTAATCACTGTTTCTTTATAATCAAGGTGACATGGAGGTTAAATTATGTTCTCGAGAACTGCGATTAACTATTATTTTCCATCCTGTTTTTCTTCTCACATGAGTCTAATTGCATTATCTAAAATGAATTCTGATTATCTACGAACATTAGAAATTGAATCCAGAATCTGCAGCATATGATGAGACAGCAAATTATGTAGAATATGTGATGCTAAATAGCTAATCGTAAGGATTATAACTGAGCATATGAGATGACAAACCGTTCACATATATTGTATATTACTAACAAAAGAAAATACAAAAACATTTAACAGAAATCAGACTTTCCCGAGAAAGAAAGTAGGAATATAACAAAAGTAATAATGATTTTATAAGGTAAACATTTAATTGTCACGACAATTTCAAAAATTCATCAAAAGCTCATTTTCAGAAATATTAATAATTAGTTTCATATTAAATAACATATATACTGTTATGAATTTTGTGCATAGATAGATGATTTTAGCGCAATTATATATGAAATTGTTGTATTTTTCTGTCTAATGTAACATGAAAATCTAGAGAGACAGTGCTATGCCCGAAAAGTAAGAACACAGGGTCTATTTAACATTGAGTAAAGGACTGTTTCCTTAGTTTGGCGTGATATCGCCCAAACTCGCCTTACCTGCCGACCGTACGGCGTTAGAGCCATCCCTGTATAACTGTAATGGATATTGTAATTGAATAACTGTAATTTATCCTCTATGCAGCTGTAACCGTATGCCTCCAGTAATTTTGAGAAACATAAAGTACTAGGAATATCTCGGCGGCCAGGTCAAAACTACATAAGACTGGATAGAACATCTGCTCTGAGATGCTGTTAGCTGTTTATTTCAGCGTTAAGTACGGAGTACTGAGATATTTCGGGTCAGGTTCACTCTTTAAGTGCGCTTTGCATTGCGGTGTGTTTAGCGCTTTGGTAGTATCAAGCATAACTACTGATTTACTTCTAAATTCTGTGAACTGCTGTATAACATTTTTTTTTTTTGGAAAATTTCAGAATTGTGAAGCGTTTCTATGATAAAATTAATTTTGTCAACCCATCATCCGGCATGTGAGCATTCAATCTATTAGGAACCCGTACGCATGAAACAATACTTTAAGCTTTAATCTAATTATTATTTTGTCCATGAAATGAAATACAGCTTATGAAAATGAACAAAAAAAAGCCTATGAAAAGTATATACAGAAATGCGCATACATGTCTTGAGTTTTTGGAGGGGAAAAAATCAAATACCGAGTGCTGACAGAATTTTACGAAAAAAGCATTCAGTTTATTTGTAAGATTCAAGCATGACTTACAAAATATACGCAGGTTTGGGAGGGGGGGAGGGAATTAACAAGAGGAATGACATTGTTGCAATAAATAGCACTGTATATCATATTATTTTGAAAAATAAATATATTTTTTTATCTCACTATGTTGATCTCACTCTCAAAATAGTCAGATCCAGGCGGTCCAGCTTGTAAACAAGACATAAATATAGCACAAGCATAGCGAGAAACTGCTTGATGTCCTATGTTAGACAAATGGCCTCATAGCAGATGCGTATCAAAAGAGTCTATTACGAAAAGTTGGCATGTTTTTCTGTAGTAGTGTTTAAATGAAAGTGCAATAGCATAACCTGAATATGAGCTTACATATCTCAAGAAAGGAACTTTGTAAATGATTTATGATTATCCTGCATATAAAAATTTGAAAAAAAAAAAAAAAAAAAAAAAAAAAAACACTAATTAAAACTGACTTTTTCACAACTCAAAATCATGATTTCTTTCTTTAGGATATAAAGTCGCCAATTACCGTCAAAGCGGGGGGGGGGGATTAAAAAATATAATTTTGATACTTCAATAATAAAAAAAAATATGAATTCACTCGATAGAAAGAACAAATGAATATGAAACGGAACTGAATTACAGAAGCCTTGATGTTTGAACATTTCATAAGACCAAAAGATTCAGAGTGGAGCGTAAATGACGATTTTTTTTTAAAGGTGATATCGTAACAACTCAATTACGATAGACAGGAAGAAGAATCAGCGTGGGTTCCATGCCAGCACGGTAGTGAGCACTTCCTCAGGGAGCGCGCACCTTAGGAGTGCTTCAATTACCATTTTTATAGCAACTCTCCAGGAAATGATATAAGAGACAATAGCAAAATACTGCGTTACGGAGGTTCTCTTTCTAGGATTCAAATAAAAAACTGTTAAAAAAAATTCTGAACTGCTGAAGATCAGAAACTAAATGGGAAGCAATTTCATTAAAATCGAAATATAAGGTGTATTGAAATGTTTTTTAATACATAAAAGTTTGCATGCTAAATTCAGCATAAACTTTCTTCACCGGTCAGTCGCCACACACTTTCCCTTCACAATCTTTTTCATCCTGAACAACGTTCTTCCTTAAAATGTCTGATAGTACGCTTTGAAGGCAATGGAAACTTATATCAGCAAAATAATATTTTCAAAATTTGGCACACTCTTCTTCATACTGGTGATTCAGCTATTATGGGCAATGCGCATCACTAACCAGATGATGCAGTAGTAAGCCTAAACTTAAATACAATTAACGTTTGAAAGTATCTGTAAATCCAAACGACAAGCTTTGTAACAGCGTAGCTACAATACACAGACAGATTCTAAAATACCTACAAAAATTGTAAACGGAGATAGAGAGGACCGACATAAAAGTAGATTTTGTAATGGAATGTACAAACTGAAATGGCTCATGTAGCAGCTAGTACGTAAAGAATGTTTGAGTACAGATAAACTCAAAAGAAACAAAATTGTAATGATTTGATTTATTATAATAGGTGCTAACAACAGTAATACAAGATCTCGGCCATTTCACTCACGTTTCTAGCACCAATTAGCTGTCTGGCCTCTAGATCTTGATCGGATTCAATGGGACTTTCGTAGATGCTCTTGATGTGCCTTCGGAAGAAATCGATGCATTCTAATCGTGGTAGCCATGTAACATGCCCACTCTGTCCGATCCAATGAGGGATATCTTTCTCCACCCATACCACGCTAGCATACACTGAACGATCTATTCTTGCATAGCTCTAGGTACATACGGTCCAACGTTTGGTGATTTGACAGCCTGTCTACATCGAAATCGTGCTGACGCGTTTCCATTTGCAAAAACACAAATAAAGTGCAGGTCGGCGAGCTCTGCGTTCGTGTCCGCACCGCACGAAATCCGTAAAAAGAATGACGATTTAAGCTAGCAAATTTCTTTTGTCTACCATCTTCATGCGCCATTTTCGCTCACACATTCCATACAAAATATATTTATTTCTTTTTTCCAGATATTTTCAAATCACCCTGTATGACACTGGGTGATTGTTCGTGGCACAGAATCATTTTCTTGTTTTATATAATTAAAAGTTTAACTATAATTTTCTTATTAAATTTCAATGAAAATTATTAAAATAAAATAAACTGGATTATAACAGTATCACTGACTGATTTTGGATGAAAAATAAAGGCATATATGTAATCAACATTTAAAGAATACTGCAAAAGAAGCTGCTGACACTCATTTGTTTACTAACATGTGTATAAAAGTCGAAGGCAGCACATAACAGGATACATGCGGCCGTAGAATCTTAACTGCAGGAACCATCTGGACTCGCATGCTAATAAAATGTTGTGCTTGCAGTTTAAATTACATAATACAGATACCTTTTCATAATACAGAGGAAGAGTGAACCATCAGTCTTGATATTCCTAAAGAATGAATCTCTTAGCTTCATCAAAGATCTCTCCTTGAAATTATTGGTTTTTGACTGTTTTGCATTTGTATTGTTGACTAGAAAATGCATCTCTTTAGAAATAAATTTCACAAAATTCACTTGCACACATTTTTACTGCAAATAGTGTGAATGGGAAGTTATCTATCGGAAGAAAGAGCGTAAAATAACATCCTACAAACGTTAGTGCTTCAGGAGGGAAGGCAAAAACTAATTACCCAAAGAAGCAAAACCGAAAGCATTTAGTACATATGGAGCATGATCAACCAAAATTTCAAAATGCGTGTAATGAGAAGTATACCAATTTCATAAATTAAAAGTTTAACTGCAAATGTCCTCAATCCTAATAAGCTCCATTTAAAGAGCATCATTCGCAATACGCAGTTATATAGTAGCCACTAATATGGACAAGAAAAATTTATAAAATATGTACAACTATACATAGTTCTTACTTAACTTTTCTTATTATATCAGCGTAAGCCGGTTAATTTCCAAAAACTAAAAGTTAACTAACCTCCCAGTGGCTGAAGACGAGCTGCGGTAGAGCCATCCCGCTCGTCTGCTTGCGTATCTCGTTCGCGAAGTCGAAGCTTTCGATGACGGGAAGTTCGGCTATCACATGAAAAGTCTGCGAACCCTCTTGCATATCAGCGTGCAGCACGCGACCGTGACGACGTCCCAAAACAGCATACATCTTGCCTGAAAAAGAAAAAAATAATTCAGAATTTCTCAAGGAAACGTAAGGCACTTCACAATGAAACAAACACATTGAGAAAAAGGGACTCACAGAATTTAATGTTTCCATGTTACATTAACCAAATTATTCCATCAGATATAAGTAACGAAACAGTAAAATTTTAGTTTAACTAACTATTTGTAATACTTTTCTTTCAGTTCCCTTGTTTCATCCAAGCCGTTTCCAGAAAATAAATGTTAAAATTACCAAGCAGAAGTAAAAGGAACAAGTAAAGCCTCATTTCAATTAAGGCTTCGCTCACGACGGTTTTGTCATTATAAAGCTTTGCATGAAAAAGTCGGCATAAAAGTCAGTTCTTTCACATCTCTTTAATAAAGTTTAAGCTATAGCCAATAAGGAAAGCAAAAGTTGCACATACGTAACTCACTCAGTGTGGCTGACTCAGCGAAACCGTCGATGTTTTCTTCGCTCTGTTTCGCGGTTTTTATACAAACCTGGCATAAAGTTAAAAAGTTAGAGTTTTTAAGTTTCGTGATGGTTTAAAAGTCATAATAGGTTTAAGCAAAGCTTCGCTGCTATGCAAACTAAATTTAATTTAAATGCAACTAATTAACTGAAATTGTTTTAGGAGACATTTCACACTAGTGAACTAAAGAGTTAACTGGGTTTAGGGAAAGGCATCCTTTAATTTAAATCAAGTAGCAATTCAAATACATATTTTATTAAATTAGTTTAACCTCACCCTCTCTCTCTCTCTCTATATATATAAACTATAATTAAAAAACTTGTAGAGACATTAGGATTTTTTGGAAGCAGGAGAAGTGACAAATGAGCAACGCCTTCGCCAGGACGAACCACGGACCTCTGGGATACGCGCCCAGCAGGCAGACCACTATCCCACTAAGGCGGCAGAAATACCGTAAAAATTATATAATAACTAAAATATATAACTAACAAATATTAATTGCATATTAAACCTGGATTTTCCTTTTAGTAGCTTTTCTTGAAAGGGAAAAAATTCGCAGATAGCAAATAGTTCTAATCTTTTAAACAAATTTTGAATTAAAACAGTATTTTACAAATTAAAGCAAAAATCATGTTTTAATTACTTAATAAAACGTCTGACAATATTTTGCCTATGACAGGTAACTACGCATTTTTCTAAATCTGCCCCCCACCAACAGGTTTATAGCTTTCTGCTGAATGTACTAAAATTATCAGCTAATTTCAAAGAAAATAATTTTACGAAAAACATCATTACTTTGGTTACATTATATTTACATATATAAAGAAGTACTTTTTATTTACAAATAATAAAATTTCATTAAAACTTAATCAATTTCTTTCATTCTTAATTTTTAAAACATTACATTATGAATTTATTTCAGTATCAGCGTGCAGGACGCGACCGCCAGCTTCATTTACGGCTCGAATAAGCGTTAACAGACCACGCCTACTATAAACCAATTTCGAGAGAAATCCTTACTCGCATAGTTCTGTCTTATTCTACAAAATGAGATCCTCTGTGAAGTTCTTACGTTAATTAACCAGTTATTATGATTTTGATCTTTAGTGTAACTAAAGATCAAAATCATAATAACTGGTTAATTAACGTAATTTTCGTATTCCTTATCGGAATGCAAATTGGCTTTGACTGTATTTAGGCTGAGGGTTTTGAATCTTACAGCTTCTGGTACTCCCGTCTGCTGTTAGTTTTTCCCAAGCTCTATTTAAAGGTGATATTCCAGCTTTGAAATTCTTGCCGCCGATGCTTTAAATTTACTCGCCTGTAAAATAACTGAGCCACTGTTTTCTAATGAATGTGTAGTGTAAAGACTACATGTTTGCGTCTTAAGACGAGATTCAGCGTTTGGATTGAATTACCTGTTATTGCTTAATTTAAATAGCCACGAGTGGTGGTTTGTCTGTAGCACAAGTCGTGCCTTATGTCCAGTTCAGATTAAAATAAAAAAGTTATTTTAAGCCTTCCTTAATACTTCGTGAATTGCTAAGACGTAGTTAGGGTCTACAGGACTTAATATCAGTTTCCAGGTCAATAGCAACTCTAAACCTTAATTTAATATTTTAACCCTTCGGCGGTTACGATATTAAGCAAGTATTCTTTCTTCCCAAATACTCGTGATATCTATCAGTCGTAAATTTGAAACGCGAGCTGTGTTCATTTGCGCCCATTGCGGTGCGTAATTGGAAGGCGAGCTGAGCTCGTTTATGATCACCAAAAGGTTAATACATGATTTCATTTTAAGCTGAAATCAGAAAACAAATTTTTGGTTAACAACGTATTAAAATCTGCTACAAAATGCAACGGAGTTAATTCTGGAGAAATATTAGCATTAATTCTTTGCAAAATCGACTATTATGCAGCATTTCTTTACACATTGCGAAGTGATAAATACAAATGGACAATTCGATTAAACAGAACACTCACACCAGGATGAACTTATACCAAAGTGCACAGATAATATTTAAGAAAAACACAAATTTTCAACAAACTGGACCATTAAGCAACATACTATCATTATGCATTAAGAAATAATAAACACAAATGCTGAACGAACTTTTGCTTAAATAGCAGGGTGAGAATTGAGGGAATTACCATACAACGCAAATGAAACATATTTAACGAACATTTAACTTCAGTTCTTTGAAAACTGGATCATTAACCCTTTCTGATACGCTACCTTTTAAAGTCGGAGTTTTGATTAAAAAAAAAAAAGGTAGGCAATCTAATTAGGCCTAGAAGGAGTACACAAGTAAGATTTTGTGAAGATAGCAATTATCGTTTTAATTCTGTGGGTGTGGCCCAAAGTGGCGCACTGATTGAAGTAGAGCTTCGAAAAGAGTGCTGAAACCAGCATTGTTGTTCAATGAACTGACCGACGAGATGCGGAGAAACAAAGAATGCAGACATCAGTTGTCCTAGATTATGGGTTGAAGAGCCCGGTCTGGGCACACTTAGGGTTCCCCGTTTGATTTTAGGCAAGATTTCAAGGTAAAAATTTAAAACTAACATAGAATAAGGAGACTAGCATACAGCCAAAAAAATAACATATAAATTTCTTTTCAAGCCATTCCTTTTATACCCTAAAAAAATGGAAGATTTCTTTGAAAAATGAGGGTCTTAAAAAACTAAACATGGCTAAAATATATGGACTGGTTTGTGTTGAGCTGCCATGTACTATAAGTAAAGAAGGTTCAGAGTAACCTATAAATCCTTTTTCATTCAATTTTTCTGTGCCTACAGAAGGAAATTTTTAGGTGTGTCCAGACCGGACACACTGTGCCGCAAAGGGTTAAACAATAAGCAGCATATACACAAATTCAATGAGACTTCCTCGACTACACATTTACTACGAACTTCACCATATACTGCATTTTTTTCCCTTAAAAAACTCATTGGTAATATGCATTGAAAAGCTATAAACACAAACGAAGAACAAATTTTTAGTTAAACAGAAGACTATGGTGTTTCGGCTTCCCTGCTCCGAGGAAACTTAATCTCACTGCAGGTCGACTCTCCCTTTGGGCACGTCGTGGAGGTTCAACCTCCACTATTACCCTCCAGGAAAGCCGCGCACCACCTGGATATGACACCAGGCAGCACCGGTCGTCTATTGCTCCTACCAGTCGCTCGGGCGAGCCCGTCGCAGCGGGACATTACCCAGCGACCCCGGGGGATAACCCCCGGGTTACTAGCACCACGCCGCGCTAGGACATGCCAGACTCCGAGGCCGGCCAATAAGTGACCTTTCCCAGAGCCTTCAGAACCACCAAGTTCATAAATTTTATACCCCCGTGGCCGAGACTGCCTAGGTACAGATCCTAGCCAGTAGCTTCGCAGAATTCTCTACGTCGACCCCCGGGGGGGGAACAGAAGACTAGGAAGACCAGTTTTAAAATGTAGAGGAATTATAAAAAGAACCATAAAAAAATTCAAAAATTAATATTGCATTATAAGACTTTTAATGCAACGGAAGTGTTTGAAGAAACCTTGAAGGATAACTTTCGAGGAAAAGAAGAAAACTATATATCATACATATATATATTAAAAACATAAAAATAATAATACTGGCATCCTTCAAAACAAGTATATATTCAAATTAACATTCCATCACTCCATACATATTACATTTCATTATAATCCATACACATTTCAGTTCATTCCAAATAAAAATGAGACTTCTCTGCCGAATGGAGGACACAGCGGTGTTCCATCATTCTTATACTCACCTCCCAGTTTCCCTTCGCAGTACCTCAGAGTTTTTGAAGGTGGGGCTCTAATCCACACCTCGCAGAACTATTTTTCTTCGCTGTCTTAATGGCAGATGCGATATCCGGTGCCACACAATGGGTGAAGGGGTAAAAACTAATGAAGCCGGGCCTGTTTACTCGGGAGTAGGCCGCCCACACTTAGCTTCAGGCGCCGGGGCGTCGTCCAACCCCACTACGAGAAGTACCCCGTAATTTGCGCTTGAGGAAGACCACACCTTCTCCGAACACATTTCAGAAAAATATCAAGTCGTATTAAACAATACAGGCGAATATCGATACATATGCCATTATGAGCCCATCCATATATTACACCATTCCTATAATCTAGGAATTCCCTCCTAATTCAAAAAAATTAATGGAATATTTACTTAATGTCTTGATTTAAAATATAATGTCTGGGATGCAGATTTTGAAGAAATATTTAAACCATTAACCAAATAACTTATCCGGCTCTGGAAGCTTTTGCAAGCGACAGTTCTTAATGAAAGTTAACACGGCTATTAGAATTCCAATTAAACAGAAAATACACATTTTATATTAATCCAAGCGATGCTCGAAAGGAAATTCTTTCATCAGACATAAGACTAAACACGATTTAGAAACTTTTCATTTAGCATTACACACTGTCAGATATTTCTTTGAACTGAACTAATACACGAGTTCTTTTAACAGCAAGAAATCATCTACTTTCTCAAAGCGACTGACCTAA